TGAGATGTGGGTTTTGTTTCATTCATCTGAAAATGGATTTCCAGTTTTGCCAGCACCATTTGTTGAAGAGACTATCCCTTCCCCATTTAATTTGTTTTAGTAGAAGATCAACTGAGCATAGGTAGATGGATTTACTTTTGGGTTTTTAATTCTGTTTCATTGATCTGTGTGTCTTTTGTTGTACCAGTACAAGTCTGTTTTGATCACTATGACTGTAGTAGGTTTTGAGACTGGAAAGTGAGAGGCTTCCTACTTTGTTCATGGACTGTCTTTTGGATGACGAAATGAAATGTTTGGGTCCTCACAAGTTGAAGTTTTTTATATTTATTTGAACTTATTGTTGCTCAGTTTGATCCATTTTCAGCAAGTTAAATCTCAAATTATGGTAACAGAGGAAAGGGTAACCCATCAGATATGTCTAAACAATATGTGACTAATGAATCAACTTAATAAGGATCCCTGGTAGCATAGTGGATTACAAGCTGGGCTGCTAACCGCAAGTCAGCAGTTTGAATCTACCAGATGCTTCAGGGGGAGAAAGATGAGGCTTTCTGCTCCAGTAAAGATTTACAGCCTTGGAAACTCTAAACAGGGTTGCTGAGTCAGGAGTGACTAGAGGGCACACCACTACCACCCATAAGTGATAAAGTTCAGTAAACTGTTTTCAGTGATGTAAGCATCGCTCTATATTTCAGTTTGTCAGTTCCACTCCAGCTTTTTTCTCATACAAATCAGCTAAGTATTGCTTTAAGATACATATCTTTAACAGTTGGAAAACCTGTCAAGAGATTTATCGCATTTACTAGTTTAAAAAAAAATCTTGGTGAAGATACGACAAATTAAATATTTCATTATTTGGGGGATATTTGAAAATTTTAGTTTTCTAAATGCAGAAGCCAGTCCTATGCTATCAATATCAGGACATTATAAAGGCATGCTACAGAAAATGTTAGAATGTAATTTTCATACCATGTGCTGCATTTATTGAATCTTATAGGACATAGTAGATTGTTGTCCAGAAGTAGTTGATTTTTTTTCTTCTATTCAGTTACTTGACACATTTTTTTGTTGTTGTTGCTGCTTCTACTCACCAATAGGCAATTCTTAAAACATACACAGGCAATGACCGAATACGAGAATGTTTTTCTAGATCATGTTGGAAAGTGCATGTTGTAGCAGAGTGCCATCATAGAATCATACAGTCAGATTCTACATGCCTTAGAAACCATTACTGATGACAAGACACCAAGGAGATACCAAAAAAGATGCTGAAAACATCACCATCAAAATGCAAACACTAACATTTTTATTTATGTTGGTTATGTGAATAATATATTGCAGCATTTTATTGGATGAATCAAAGTTTCCAAGATTCAGAAGCAAATTCAAAGACTTGCACAGATCTCTACCAGTCATTAACAGATTATTTTTGTAATTTAAGAGAAGATTTTGAAATTTTTAAAAGCTCAACAAAACAAGTACTGCCAAGTACTGATTGCCAAGCAGTTCACGATCACAGAAGCATTAGAAAGAAATAAGTGAATTATGAAAATGCTCCCGAAGTATCACTGAGTGCCAAAGATCAACTTTTGTAAACTCTTGTATACCATTATTGACATATTTGAATTTTGCATGAAAAGGGCAAAAGTGTATGAAGTTTTTTCAAATGGATTTTCCTTTTTAAACAATGTGGATGGATATACCTCATGAAATAATGATTCAAGACTCAATTCATTATTCTTATTATGCATGGAAGTAGATATTATTCAGCAACTGCATTGTGATAAAATCATTGAAGAATTTGTAAGAGCAAAGAAAAGAAAGAAATGTTTACTCTGTTGTCTTCAGGAGAAAATCCAATTCCTGGACCTGGCATATAGAATCTTTCTGACCATTTGTCAACTCTTTGATCTCTTGTAAGGTAATGCATACCACACCCCAATTACCTAGTACCACCAAGAAAGAAGAGCCAGGGAGTAGAATGGGTCCTTTGGACCTGGGGTCCCTGCCCTGTGAAGCTCTTACATCAAGGGGAAGATTGATGCCAAGATACATGGAGATCCCCAAGGAATTCTGGGTCTACAGTTGCTGAAAGGAGATAAGGACCTTTTCTCAGAGCCAACAAAGAGCCTTTCCCTAGAGATGGAAGTCTGAATTTGGACTTCTAGCCTCCTACACTGTAAGATGTAGGAGGGCTGGTGGCACTATAGGATAATCACTGGACTGCTAACCACAAGGTCAGTAGTTCAAACCCACCAGCTGCTCTGCAGGAGAAAGATGAAATTTTCTGTTCCTGAAATGAAACCCTATGCAAGGTTGCTGTTAGTCAGAACTGACTCCACAGAACCTAACAACAGCAATAACATTGCACTCCAGGAAGTTTCCCTTCCATTGGATCAGGGCTGTGACTCCACTAAGGGTATTACATTCCACTTGAATCCTCTTACCATTGATAGACTGAGCACACACAGACCACATCATGGGGAATGATTATATCATTACATTATTATCAAATCACATCAGTATATACCTGCCATCCCACTGAGGATCATGGTCCAGTTAAGTTGTCACAGATTTGGGAGGATACAATTCAATCCATGACACTCAGTATAATATTTTCAAGGCTCATTGTGTTGTAGCAAGTAGATTGTACACTTTGTCTGGAACACTCTTCCTTGTCCTTTGCCCATCTGGCAAATTCACAGCTATTTTTCAGGGTCCATTTGAATGCTACTTCCTCATCTGGGAGGTCGTCCAGAATTCCCCGCTCCTCTGGGCATCCTCACCACTCTGGCCCTCTTTCACAGTATCTGTCACACTAAATTGTAATGATTTGTTTACATGTTTCTTTCCTCTAGACTGCGAGCTCCTTGGTGGCAGAGGGCTGCCTTTAGCATAGTTCTATACTGAGTGTCTCAGCCCTATGGTGGTGCCGCAGGATACATCGTAGACTGCTAATCGTGGGTTTGGCAATTCAAATCCACCAGCTGCTTTTGGAAACCCAGTATGGGTTCGCTATGAGTTGGAACCAATTGGACAGCAATTCACAGCAACAACATACTGAGTGCCTGTAGGAAGGGTGGGAATGTCTGGCCCGCAGGCTGTTTAAGGCCCACAAAATCATTTGATCTGTCTCAGCCAAAGCAACTGCACTTGTAGCCATCACATTGTTGTTGTTGTTGTTAAGTACCATGGAGTTTGTTCCGACTCATAGTGACCCTGCATAAGGTTTCCGAGGCTGTAAATCTTTACGGGAGCAGAAAGCCTCATCTTTCTCCCACGTAACAACTGGTACTTTTGAACTGCTGACCTTGAGGTTAGCAGCCTGACTCGTAACCACCACGCTACCAGAACTCCTTAGCCATCACATTGTTGTTGTTAAGTGCCGTCGAGTCGGTTCCGACCCATAGCGACCCTGTACAGGGTTTCCGAGGGTGTAAAAGCCTCATCTTTCTCCTGCGGAGCGGCTGATAGTTTCAAACCGCTGACCTTAAGTTTCGCATCCTGATTCGTAACCACTACGCTACCAGAGCTCCTTTAGCCATCACATTAGGGGTGCGTTAATTAAATGCTTGACCAAATATAGGAGGCTAATTTTTTTTTTTTCTCACAAAAGCATATTTTATTTTATGATCATCTGATCTCACTCTTTCCTCTCTCTATTTTTTTTTTTAATGTTTTATTGTGAATTGTGTGATACTCTACATGGGAGAACATCAGCTTTACATTCATTCCATCATCCATCATTTCATGGGCGTAGTTACCATCCCGTCCATGCATCCTCACCCAACCAAGGGGTATACCCTGTAAGGCTGCACCCCCCCACCCCACCACAGTCCTCAGCCCCTTTCCATCTCCTGATCCCGAGTCCCCAGCCACACCATCTCTTGCCGTCGTCTTCTCTACCTAGGAGGCTAATTTTTAAATTGATAATTTTGTATGGTCCACGAATGATGTTACAAATTTTGGCAGAAAAAAGATTCCCCATATCTAGTCTATGGCATAGCAGGTGCTCAGTAAACATTTGTAATTGCCAATGTCCATCCATTCCACATCTGGGTCAGAAAGTGAGAATTTAATATTCTGATTGTTACGCTTTCTGTGGGGAGTTTGTGTGGGCAGGAGATGGTTCTTGCTTCTTGCTGAGTTGAGTTCAAAGCACAGACTCTGGAGTTTGATCCAGGCCCCAGGTTTGGCTCTGCCGTGAATTAACTATGTGGCAAGTGACCAACCTTTACTGCCCTGATTCCCAGTCCAGACAGGGATAATAACAGCATTTATCCCATGGAGCTATTGTGAGAATTAACTGAGGAACTTGCTGGGTGCTGGGGTCTAACGTTCAATAAATGATGATTATCATTGTCTAGTTTTGAATGTAGAGACTGCAGGTGGAGTCGAGAGACCTGGGTCTCAGTTCTGGTCGGCAGCTATCTCACTGTGTTATGCTATCAGTGGCTAGTGAGTTGACATCAACTCATGGCAACCCCATGTGTGCCAAAGCAGAACTATGCTCTACGGAGTTTTCAACAGTTGATTTTTCAGAAGTAGATTGCCAGATCTTTCTTCTCAGGTACTTCTGGAGAGGCTTGAACCTCCAACCTTTTAGTTCACAGCTGAGGTGTTAGCCATATGCACCACTCAGGGGCTCCTTTGTGGCCCAAGTCAAGCCAATTTCCCTGTCTGCCTCCAGTGGTTTGGAGCATGTGGCCTTTGAGGGCTCCCAGGTCTGCCATGCTGTGGTTCTGGGAGGTGAGATGAAAGAGGGCAGCAAAGAGTGCTCTGTGTCCAGCAGAGGGCCCTGCCCAGCCCATAGCTGGCAGGGTGGGAGGGAGCACTCGAGTCCACTGGAGGGGGCAGGCGATGCCAGACGCCAGACTGGAGACGGACCAACAGGCCAGCTGCCACTCTTGCTTCTGCCCAGCACTCAGGCTCCTGCCCTCACCTGCTCTGTTTGGAGCAGCTGCCTCCTGCTCGTCCGGCCATGCAGTGGCTGTGGCCCCTGGCTGTCTCTCTTGCTGCAGTGTCAACTGTGGGGCTAAGCAGTCACCGAGCATCAACCCAGGAGCAGCAGAGTCGATCCAAGAGAGGCACTGAGGACGAGGAGGCTAAGGGGGTGCAGCAGTATGTCCCTGAGGAGTGGGCTGAGTACCCCCGGCCCATCCACCCTGCTGGCCTGCAGCCCACCAAGCTCTTGGTGGCCACCAGCCCAAATCCAGACAAGGATGGGGGCACCTTGGGCAGTGAGCAGGAGCCGAGGGGCAACCTGACAGGGACGCCGGGGCGGAGGCTGCAGATCCAGAACCCTCTGTACCCAGTGACCGAGAGCTCCTACAGTGCCTATGCCATTATGCTCCTGGCTCTGGTGGTGTTTGCTGTGGGCATTGCGGGCAACCTATCGGTCATGTGCATCGTGTGGCACAGCTATTACCTGAAGAGTGCCTGGAACTCCATCTTGGCAAGCCTGGCCCTCTGGGATTTCCTGGTCCTCTTTTTCTGCCTCCCTATTGTCATCTTCAATGAGATCACTAAGCAGAGGCTGCTGGGTGACGTTTCTTGTCGGGCCGTGCCCTTCATGGAGGTGAGTGGGTGTCGTGCTAAAGCTGGGTGGTGGGGCTGCAACCTCAGGAAGAGACTCCAAGTCTCCATCGGGGAGGGAAGGAAACTCCTGAAGCTAGAGCTTTGCTTTCCTCTGTCTTGTATCTTTTCCTCCAACCTGAGGAAGGAGACAAATACAGTCTTGTGCCTGGAAGCTCTGGGGTGGACTAGGCAGGCTGAGGAAACGTAAGCCAGGCAGGGATGCAGGACTCCTGGTGTGCTCTGCAAGCAGCCGCAGGTCAATTCTCTCCCTCTTTCTCTGTATCCTAACTGGCCCTCCCTATCTCAAGTGGTCCCCACCTGTGATTCCACCTGAGAAGTCATTCTGCCCTTTGCTGCATCTCCCTCCCCTCCCTTTGTGTCCACTGCTGCTGCCTCATGCCCACAGCTCCCTCTCTAAGCAGCGCCTCTGGGAAGAATCCCCCCATTCCTGTGCATACCCCCCTCTATCCGATCAAGCCAGTGTTTGTCCCCAGGAATGCAAACACCAGACAGAAACACTTGTCCTTCCCTTTACTGCTGCGATTGCCCCTTTTGCTGTCCCCATCATCACCAGAAACCCCCCAAAGCCTCTCTAAAGGGGAATACCTGACTCTGGGCACTGTGGCTAGTAGGGGTCTGTAGTCCCAGTTCATGCTGGGTATTTTCTTTATTTCTTAACAAGAGGGGTCGACCAGATGGCCCCTTCTACAATTCTAATGTATATCATCATACCTTTACCTTCTGGGAATTTGTACGTTAAGACACCACATGGGTATGGATGGATGTGTAGACTGAGTGATCAAACTCCCCAAACTAAACCCACTGCTATCAAATCATTTCCAACTCATAGCCACCTTGTATAGGGTTTCTGAGGCTGCAGATTGTTACAAGAGCAGAAAGTCTCATGTTTGTCCAACAGGAATGCTTGGTGAGTTTGAACTGCTGACCTTGCAACTGTTAGCAATCCTGTGCTTCTCCTGCAGTGCCACTAGGGCTCTTATTGTTTTGTTAAGTGCCCCGGAGTTGGTTCTGACTCATAGTGACCCCATATAGGGTTTCCAAGGCCTTAAAAAAAAAATCTTTGCTGGAGCAGAAAGTCTCATCTTTCTCCTGCGGAGCAGCTGGCGGTTTCAAACCATGGACTTTGTGGTTCATAGTCCAATGATTATCATATGGAGCCACTGTGCTCCATAGATTGAACTGAGACAGCTTAATGAAAACATTGCAAAAAAGATGCCAGTCCAACGTGTGCATGTGTGAGGTACAGCAAAACCAAGGTGTCTATATGAGAATATGAAAAAGGTTTTGCTATGTGAAGGATGCACAACAGGGACAGGAGTATGTGGGGATTCCTGTGAGGGCTGCTGTTCCTCCTGAGAGAGGCTGATATCCTGGGACATGTGTAACCTGCTGGGCTGGAGAAGGAATCGGGATCAGGCATCTAGACACAGGTCTTATTCTCAGCTCTGTCCCTATTCTACTATGTTTTAGTAAGTGTTTCAAATTTGGACTCTCTCAGAGGCTTAGCAGCCCTCTCTTGTCCTTCCCAACCCAAGGAGGCTGCCTAATGGTGGCCCGCCTCAGATAGTCCCTACAACTGAGTCTTCTACATCTTGTGCTCACAGCCATGGTAAACTGTAAGATCAGAAAGTGTATTTGTTAGACACAAGGACCTTGGAACTGCGCAGACTGGGTTAGAAACTGGGCTTTGCCCCTCACTAAATGTGTGACCTTGGTAATTTACTTAGCCTGTCTAAATCTCAATTTTCTCATCGGAACATTGGGAACAACAATAGCAATAATGATGATGACTATCTGAATAAATCCTTGAAAGATTAAATGGGTAATATCTATAAAGTGATTGGAATTAAAATAACTCAATAAATAAGTGCTTTTATTTGGGAATGGTCTCAGGCAGGAAGGGAGCAGGCCAGACATGTTTGCACGAAACTGGTGGGTCAGTGAAAGGCTGGGCTTCTCTGATGACTTGATCTGTAGGCTTTGGACTCCATAATCTGAGACTATCCTCCATGCCTCCTGGAGGCTACAGATGATCCACAAGCTGATAGAGTCTTCCCTCTAGGCTGAGTGATAGGGTGGGAGTCAGAAGATAAAGTACCCTGTCAAAGAACCCTGCTAGAGGATGGGATCCCAGGAGGAGGTGGGGGGAGGGAAGCTTAGAATAAGACTCAAGATATTTTCTGAGATGCAAGGAGTCCAGATGTGGCACTGTAGGATAAGCAGTGTATTGCTAACTGGAAGGTCTGTGATTCAAACCCACCAGCTGCTCCTTGAAAATCCTATACAGGGTCAATATGAGTTGTAACAGACTCAATGGCAGTTAACAACAACAAAGGAAAGAGGAGATCGCCTGTTGTTTTTGCCCAAGCTTTGGGGCTTCCGCTCCACAGGCCTAGGCTCTCCAGCCAAGGTGGGGGGCGGGGGGG